GTGTTCTGCTATAAGGCAGTGACGGCGTTCCATATTTGTTTGTTTGTTTTTTGTTATTAGAGGCTTTCCATTAGTTTATAAGTTTGGACTTGACATCGCAACTGACACAACGAGTCTGAACAAGGAATACTGGTGTCTGTCTGGTGACACGCTTGTGACAATGTCGTTTGTACATATACAGCTGTATCTCGCCGACGGCCAAGTGTGATTTCCCCTTGGTGAGGACCATGACAATTATTTCAAACATTCAATTGTAGGAACATACTTTTTTTATCAATCAAAATCCGAGACCCTGGAATCAACCTGGAACGAAAACGTTTACACAATTTTGTGGCAGCTAGCGGTAGGATTTTGTTTCAAAATTTTGTTCATTTGTTGATGTTTATTAATATTTATGCTTGGTGCTACTTCCATTGCAAAACTAAACGAATTGCGGAATTGCTATATTTTCAGCTGTTTATTGCATATGACGTAGGTTTTAAGAAGGACAAATTTAAAGAACATGGAAGAGAAACAAGAGAAGCATCTTTAGGCGTTTATCTGCAAGCAGAGATGGACAAGCATGTTGACGACATGTTAGGATGAGACGGGAAAGAAGAGAACGTGTCAGATATCATTGTGATGAGAAGAACCACAATACATGTACTGAATCTTACATTTTTATGGGCTGCAGAGTTAAAGGATTTCAAGGATTCAAAAGGGCAGTTAGCTCGATGGATTAAACTGCAATTAAGTCATGACGTTCACATTAAGCAAAGGTCTTGTAGACTTCACAAAAATGCGCATGACTCAAGTCGCACTACTGTATTCCATGCAAGCTATTCAAGACTGGCCGTACAGGTATTTTTATGAAGTGTAAACACTAGAATCAAAGGAAGATAGATCGGAAGACTTATTCAGGGATTTTCTTGGGTAGTTTTAGGATGAAGAATGATACTTAAGGTTAAACTATAATTGAACACCCATGACCGCCTCAAAAAATAATATCATATAAGGGAATTGATGATATAAATTGTTATGTTCCCAGTAGGACATAGGTTAGCTTTGCTCGAGGGTATTCGCTACAGTAAATGGGAAGAAGTGATAACAAACAGAAAATTTCAGATTGTAATTCCCATCAAAAGGAGAAAAGAACAATTCTCTCTCTCATGATGATAGCTTGTCTTCAGTGCCTTTACAATACATTGGCAATGATAATATTGAAGAGGTTTACAAACAGAATGTTCACCAATGCACAGCAGGTTGTGAAATGTTACAAAAAGGAAGGGCCTACTATTCTTATGAAGAGCCGATAAAACTAGTAAGTTCTGGATACCCTATGTAGTGGATGGCCACTGACATCTTAGGTTAATTACATATGTGATTGAAATCGGTGTATTCTAGTCTTCGCGAATTATATAATGGGGACTGGGTGTTTCCCATATTAATATCGATACTAAGACAGTCGCTGGTAAAATAGCAGCTAACTGCATTGCTGAGTGGATTGCGGAATTGCTAATTGGTTAACCTCAAAACGTGCCGACCGATTCAGCGGTTAGTCGTATCAAGATATACATTTTGACATTTTCTTTTCATATACACAAAAAGGCTTAAAAGACGTTAGAAGTTATATTCTGTTTATTATTTTGATCGGGGAATTTTATGTACATAAGGGTATATTTTATTTCAATTTCAATAGACAAGGAAAAATTAAGAAAACCATGAATCTTGCTTGAGAAATCAGACAGGGATAATTTTCCAACGCAGATGTTAAAGAAGCTAATTCTGCGTTATCACCATAATCAGAACTAGTCTATGTCTGAACTCTCACTTTATTTACAACAACGTTCTTTACAATAGTATAATTTTATAGATAATGACAAAATATAGACATACTATGATTAAAACTGCTTAACGGTGATGTTTTTAATATAATAAAAAAAACGTAGGACTATTTTGGTAAGGGCATGATGTTATAAAAACAGTAATTAACACTTTACTAATTGACCAATTACCCTGCGATCTCAGTCTGGAGAGCTATAATTACCTCCAAATATTCTTAATTATAAGATATATAAAAACACTAAATAAAAAATCTATGCAGCGCTTTCCTTTTTAAAAACAACAGAAGGGATTTTAAGGAAACTGTGCTCAAATTTACATATATTTCATTTTTTCCGATTAACCGATTACGGATTTTCAAACCGATTAGCATCGTTCCGACCGATTAATCGGTTAACCGGTTACAAATTGCCATCCTTAAATTTAACATTATTCTGACTGCCAGGACGTCCACTTTCAGTTTTTTAATGTTGGCTGAAAGGTCTTCCGGGTAGGAAGGTACTTGGATGACCCCAAACCTGCTTTTGTTGGGAAGTGAAATCACAAATCCGCCGAGATTTTATATGTACCAGATCCAAAGTTACAAAAAGGAGACATCCACAAAAAAGAATACATTGAGAATGCTCGTATCATGTATTCAGGAAAACACAGGTTAGGTTTTGGCTGATACAAAAGCACATTTTGGATGTAAAACTGAAGGGGAATCTTTCTGTTCTGAGGAGAAAATGTATGTTATCTTTCGATCCTCGCGAAAACTCACCTTAATTTACGTTCTATTGGCAGAGCCTATTTAAAGTAGCAAGGGAATTATCTGGACAACAGAAAGAAAGAAAAGGAAAGACAAGTTATTCTTGTCAAAGGCTTAGTTTACCAGTAGAAAAGAAATCAGATATTTGAACTCATACAGAGAATCATCACTTCTAAGGTCATCAAATCTATTTGGATGGAAGTGTTGAAATCAGGGTTGTCACCAAAGAAAAGATTGTGTTCAATGAGTAATGCAAAAATGCATTTGTTGCAACTTTTAATAAATGTGATCATGTAATTGATAACTTTTTCATTCTACAATAAAAATAAACAACTTTCAAATTGACGATTATGATTTTATGCTTGCATAAAGCATTGCGTACTCGAAAAAAATAAAAGAAAGTTTTTTTTGGGGATATACAGACTTTAAGTGTGGCTGAGGAAAATCACGTAATCTAAAACAAAGGTATATGAGCGAGAGCAGCTAAGCTACGGGGTTCATGTTGTTTAGCGATAGAAGAAAGGTATTCCGGGGATAAAGTTAGATGGATGAATAGTCTAGTATATTGTGGTTTACCATGCTTATTCCGGCAATACCAGGTGGATTGTATGACTGTGATCTTGAAGGCTTGTCACAATGAATGAGTAGCAATGAATTTACTGCAAAGTACTATATATCGTGGCTACCAATTTTGATACCGTCATAAGAGGGAGGACAAGTTTCTGGTAGCAGTGGATTATTGCTCGTCCTGAATAAGGACAATTCGAGTATCTTCTGTCATTAGAGACAGACTACTAGTCTAGTTAAGGCTAGACATCGTGATTGCATGGCACTTTCGGCATGAATTAACTGGTATCTGTCTGGTATTTTCCATGCACTAAGTAAGGTAAGTGGCATATATGTGTAATCTTCATATAATCATTTTAAGGAGAAAATTGTTTATTTTTAATTAAAATCCAAACACCTTTGGATCAACCAGATTTGAAATCCTTAACACATTAAGAAACAATATCATAAACCATATCTGATGTAAGATTAACTATGAAAGATGAACCTGAACCTCGGACAGCAGCTACATTACGAATTATGGAACAAAAAATCCTGTTTTGAAAAATTTTTTTTTATTGTTTTTGCTGTCTCTTTATTGAAAAGGCGTCCACCCTAATATCATTTTCTTAGACTACAGCCCCTTTGGACCATCTGGAAGTGGAACTTATTAGGACTCGTGTAAAAAAAATACTACAGTCTTACGAGGTACTGTGTAATAAATTTTCCATGAGATGAACTTAGCACCTGGTGCTTGCCCTATGATATAAAGAAGCAATAATTCCATAATTATAATGGAGAACTACGTCAATTATAAGCATACAAACCTTGAGTTTTATTCATGAATAAAGAGGTGTCTGCATGTAATAAACCGCTTTTTGACCGGGGAATGCGGGGACTCTATTTCGATTATCATTTGCTGCACCTTGTCAAACCCAAGGGACAAACACATGTCTTGATTGTTCCTTTGCAAAGCGCCTGATATGAAAAGTGAAAGTCACTAGTCTTTCGGATGAGACCTTAAAAACCAAGACTTAGTGTAAAGGTTGGCGCTAAAAACATTAACATACCTGTAATCAACCATCAAGTCTGAAATTATCTGCAGATCTGTAGCGTTATGGTTTTATATATTTGTCTTTGACCATAACGCTACAGATCCCGTAATGCAAAAAATTTGCAATTTACGGCGCAATATATTTTAAACGTTTTTGGGGAGAAATTCTCCACTTTCCAGTATCGGTCAATTTTCTATTTTTCACTCCCTAATACTAGGCACGTTTTTTAACTAATCTGTATATTTTATCCATCTCCCAACCCTTTATAGTCGTCTCTATAAGTGATAAACTCGCTGGATTAAATTATTTGTTAGATTGCTGAAAATTCACTTCAAGCGAGTTTATTGCCTGTAGAGACAAATGCATATGGTTGGGAAGTGGATAAAAATATACATATTGGCCACAGAATGTGTCTAGACTTAGGGAGTGAAAGGTAGTTGATTGACCAATGCTAGAAACTAGAGAAATTCTCCCCAAAAGTGCGCAAAAAATATTGCGCCGTGAATTGCACATTTTTTTGCATTACGGCATCTGTAGCGTTATGGTCAAAGACAGATATATATAAAACCATAACGCTACAGGTATGCAGCTAGTCTGAAATAAGAACTGCTACAGTTGAAATAAACGCCTTATTTTAAAAACCAAAATTGGGAAAAATCCTTGGGATTTATTTTCAGCCGTTAAATGGCTGGAAAGTTCTTGTGAAAAGAAAACTGACACATAGTACATTGTAGAAAAAATGTTCCAAGGTATTAACGAACAACAAATACATTACAAACACTGACAAAAAAAGGACTGGCCACAAAAAAAACTAACAAACTCTTTTCAATGTGGTTGTGTCACATATTTATAAAGATTCCAGGTTGCTAATAAGGATTCCGGTGAAGTTATCAAATGATATCCAATTACTGTCTTAAAATTCATTGGAACAGCAGCGTATGATACAGATCCAGGCATATTTCTCACCAAACCTGGACAACTTTTAGGCATAATATTCAGTTTAGCAGCCACAATTCCGAGATAGGCATCATCAATGGGAATTGTTTTAATGTATGGGATAGCAGTGCTGAAATACGACGTCACATCCTGTGACATCAGAATAAAGAAGCCTCCAAGATATGGAGGGTATTTGTCAAAAGGATATTCCTTCCACGAAACAAACCATTTGGAACCTTCATCCCTGTAAGGAGTTGAGAATCGCAATAACTGACCAGCAAATAACCCCCATCTTCTTTCTTTACGTTTTAAGTACTTTTTGACGTTTTCTAGATTAACGAATATGTCATCATCAACATAAAGGTTGAAATCTGCATTTGGACAGAATTGGGATACCCAATTAAATGCCATGGTTGTTTTCAGGGTGTTGTTCTTGTAGCTATCGATAAAGTCCTCTTGAACAATATCTGCATAGAAATCCGATTCATTACTGATTTTAGCCTCAAAGCCAGCAATGTGACCAAGCATGAACACTATTGTTATATCACTATCTGTTATATTTCCCCACGTCTTCCGAATGGCTTTTCTCATTTCAAAATTTGATGCTTTTGATTTTACAAGAATCACTAAATGTAACTTTTTTCTCTTACACTTGTCAGCAGCCATATGAACATACCTAAAATGATGCGGATTGATTCGATGGTTCTCTATTTTCTTACCATCTAGTACAGCCTTTGTCAATTGAGAAAAGTCTACTCCTAAAGGGTATTGGCGAGGGTTGAAATTCATTTTCCTTTTTTGAATTTCTCTCGTGTCCAATGTTGGCCAGAAATACAACCTAATGCCATTTTCTTTGAGGGGAGATGGTGCACTTACAGTGGGCTTGAAGTTTTTAATTAGTTCCACTTTCATGTCTTCTTTATTTTTTCCTTTTAATTTCTGAATATTTTGTTTTCCATTTTTTTCAATCACTTGAAATTCTTTTGACACAACAGAGTACAAGTAAATCCATGCGATGACCCACAGAGTAAAAAATATTGTTAAGAAATATTTTCGGATTTTCACTTTTCTTAAAAATGGCCCCAAACATGTCATGCTTGGACTACCCGTTCATCTAGTGTATTGATTCAATGACTTGATGAAAGTACAATGTGCGTTGAATTTATACAATTAAATATCCGTAATCCATCGTCAATAACCGAACACACGAATAATAGCTATTGACACAAAATGTTAAAAACAAAATTAAACTCGACTTTATGGCTATTTGCATGGAGTCGTTCACATAGCGATGCGTTAAGATGAGATAGTTTAAGCCTATTTCCAAATTCGTTACCGTTTTACAATAATAAAAAAAATATCACATGAATATTTTGAGTGTATAGCTCTTGTCATTAGAAAAGAAATACTTTTTGATTAATAAAAAAAGTTGATTTTTAGCTTAGAGTAAGTATTAAGATTAATAAATGCCAAGATCTTAGAAAGGATATTAAAAAACGTATAATTTTCCAATGTTATATCAATAGAAAAGGAGGTAAATATTACTCAAGTTAACTAAAAGTAAAAATTTTTTATGCATAAAAATTTTGTTCAGTGCTGTAAGAAGTATACTTCTACAGTTTTGAAGGTCGATAAAATTTTGAAATGATATATCTTTTGTTTTTGTATTTTTATTTTCCTTTGTTCTTGTATTTTTATTTTACTTTCGCTTTTGTATTTTTAAGAGAGAATGTATTTTTAGATTAAAATTTGCTATTTATTGAATGCGTCATTTTTAACAAAAAAATTTCAAGATAAGTTAAATTTTAACTGGAATATGGTTTTAAATATTAATATTTTTTTTAAGCTCTACTGGTCAGAAACCAGAAGAGCTTATGGATAGTAATGTGTCCGTCCGTCTGTCTGTCTGTAAACATTTTTTTCAAAATGCTACTCCTCTTACAGTCTTAGTCTGATTTCAATATAACTTTGCACACAAGTAGACTATATCAAGGTACACAATTATATATATCAGTTTTTGATTTCGATAAACGGTGTTGCCGTGGTTACTAAAAATAAAAATTTCTTTGATATTCTGATTTCAATATAACTTGGCACACAAGTAGACTACACTAAGATACATAAATCTGTAGATCGGTTTTTAATTTCGATGAAAGGTGTTGCCGTGGTTACTTAAAATAGAAATTTCTGTAAAATACTTTCAAAATACTACTTCTACAGTTTTAGTATGATTTTAGCATAATGTGACATGCAAGTAGACTATACTGCGTTACAAAATTTTCTTTATATATATATATATATTTTTTTTTTTAATGATGGCGCCATGGTAACTAAAATTGAAAATTCTATAAAAATTGTATCAAATCTACTCCTAAAGCTATAGTTCTACTGCAATCTTGACACAAAAATAGACTTAATCAAGGATTATTCTTCTTTTTTTTTATTGCTGATTTAAAGTTTCAATTAAGTCCCACTTGCTACTTTTCTCTTCTTTTGTTATGAGTACAAACCAGTATCGCTACAGTCTCGACAGAGACTTCGGGTTAATTAAGCTTTGTAATTTTATTTCAAATTATAATCGTCAGGCAATTATTTTAAGTGACCTGAGTTCCCCTTTTAAAAACCTACTTTTCAAAAAGAAACTTGATCATATAATATAAAACTTTAATCATCCTTGAAAATCTTCATAACTCACATTAAGAATACAGGTAATTTTGCAAGATTACAATAAACAGCTAACCGTCTTCATTATTATAAAGTTCATGTCCCTCGGTCACATGAATTATCCCACAGGGTGGGGCTAAGTGAGTCATACATGTATATTGAAGTGTCCAATACAACATCATTACCTGAGAAACGAGTGATTCAGATGTAACTGTCAATACCCAAGGGTGTCATATTTCTTGGAGAATTATCTATGTAGTTTTTTTTTAAGATGACAAGTACATATTTTCCATTCTTTTTATTTTAAAAGATCAAATATTGCTACATAAGTTAGAGTTGCTGACGATTGAAGTTTATCATCACGTTTATCATAAAGCTTTGCGGTTAGAATACCATTACGGCGTTTTTCTAAATAGAAAAATCAAATACTAATGACGTTACGCACGGTGTTGGTGTCACATTTGGTAACGTTATAAATGACGTTTAACGTCACGTAAACGGAACGTAAAATTACTCATATCAGTGAGCGACTTTGTAAAAATACTAGTATAAAAATGTATCAGACTTTGTGGTATCTTTTATTTCAAGCTCATCAGAATATAGTGAATCAAAAAATGTATCAGACTCTGTGGTATCTTTTATTTCAAGCTCATCAGAATATATTGAGTCGACACATATATTTTTTTTAAATACAACATCGATATTATATAAATATAGCCCTTTGATGAGGTCGATCCATAGATATATCGACTTCACAGAAAAGCATATCGACTGAGCACGAAGTGCTCTTCTATCCATCCACTTTTTCCACCACAACATGGTCAGTTGCTTAGTCTTGTCAATGAAGCAGGGCCCTTGCTTTATTGTCAGTTTTTTTGTGATTTAGTTGATGCATTTCAGATTCTATAAATAGTAACTCAAGTCTTTATGCTGTTATATTTACTTTTCCAATAAATTTCCCCTATGATTCTTTACAAAATAAAATGCAGTTCATTTTCTCATGAACTACATTAGCCTACATATGTACTATGAATAAGCATGAATATTGTTACGTCATAAAACCGCACTTGACGTCAAAAAATATAGTGCACACTGTTTTTCATTAAAAAAGACAGTTTAATGGCGTAAATTTATGGCAAGTCATCAGAAAAATAAAAAATGAATTTCACGGTGTAGTACCTAAACGGCTGCTATCGGAACAAAACCGCGTTCAGTGCTGCTATTCGAAAATTTTACGGCTGCTAGCAGAAATAAATATGTTGAAAACTCTTACAACAAGTTGTAAAACGGTGAAATCATGACCCCAAATCAAGATAGTCTCTGAAAAGTCCGGGTGCACGGAACAAGTAAGGTATTTCTATAGATGTAAACATGTGTAATTTGCAGAATAGCCCTCTAATAATTTAGAATTAGTTAAATTTCCGAAGCCTGTACCAAATCTTCAGTCAATAATTACCCAGTTTTCATGCTTTTTTACATCATCTATTATTCGGATTGTGGGTGTTTTGGTATTTGAAGATGCGTCAATCTATAATAATTCTGAGAAATAATTTTTAAAAATTGACAAGTGTATTTTAAAACAGATTTTTGGACAAAACACGATTTTTTAAAGTTACGGTTGCTATCCGAGTCTTAGCATATATTGCACCGGTTAATAACCGAAAACATAGCATCGGCTGCTATTTGAAAATTGTCCTTATTAGCAGAGATGTGAAACAAACATATGGCAGCAAATGTCTAAAATATACATTTTAAATATCTAAAATTGCATGTGAAATAAGATGTCTATATATGCAGTTGACTTTTACAAGCTTAACTCAGGGGTGTAACGTCGATTTTGAAAAGGGGGGGGGGGCAGAAAAATTCAAATCTATTTTCTAAAAATCAGACATGGGAAAAAAAGGAAAGTTGTCAAACTTCTTTCAGTGCCATTTTTACTCAAGCGCTACTGCCTACCCTTCTTTGACTGTACTGAAATAAAAAAGGGGGGCTTCAATGAAAATTTTCAATATAGTAAATGTTATGCTTGGAAGAAAGTCAACAGACCTTTCAATAAACATTTTAGAAAATAAAGGTTATGCTTGGAACAAATTGTGGTGGGGGGGGGGGTCTGTAACTCGAATGTATCGTATTTTTGCAAAGTAGAGCTGATCTTCGAAAAGCATTGCTACACAAACCAAAAAGAAAGCTTTACGAAAGGACCCGTAAATCAATTTGAAAAAGCATATAATATATTTTTACTATCATTTACAATCTTTAATTTTCTTTAAAACCTTTCTTAAGTTAGAGTCTTTGGGGATTTTTGTAGCCTACATGTACACTTAAACATGTATAATATCTAGAAAAGTTTAAGTGTAAGCTTTGTCAAATATTTCTAATCCCATATTTCTTTTTCGAAGTACGGTGATGCAGTGGTTTGTTGTATGACTAACATGCAATATTCAAAACATTGACCCCCCTTCCCCCATCAGGCTTTTAAGAGTTCTTTAAATTATAAAGGCAAGAAAAGACCCCCCCCCCGAAAGAAAGCGTGATTTTTATATTGATGTTTTCCACTTCTTTTTACTGTCATATTTCTTGTAAATTGGCTTAATATATTTCATTGAAATAATTGTTGAACTCTGGGAGTCTCTGACACTACTACAGCAAAGATTCTTTTTAAAAAATCACAGAAAATTCTCTTAACAAAAAGGGGGAAAGAGGCGCAGACACCCCCCCCCTTTTACCTTCAACGTGCTTTACCCGATGCACATGTACAGTTTTGAACGTACTATATATACATAACTTTATGTGAGCTTTATTCATTTTTCAATTCATATTTTTAAAAAAAAAAAAATCAGATATAGAGGTTGTTAATTTGTAGGTTTATGCTTGATTTATAGAGGTGGGTTGGGTGAATGTTTGAGAAAATAATCTCTCGTGGTTTGTGAATCGATAATTACTAGTATATATGATTTTTTAAATTTCAAATCGTAAATTTAATCAATCTGGCATCTTGCATAATAACATACCTGAAATATAATAAATTGAATGGTCACATGATTTAATGACCAACACAAAACTTTAATAGTTGTGTGTGTGCGCACATGTGCCATTGGCGTCGAAAGCAAATTGAAAGTTGGGGGGGGGGGGGTTACACCAATAAAAAAAAAGATTTGCCGAAGTTTAATCATTAATTAAGAAAGTATATAGTTTTCTTAACTATAATTGCATAACATGTGTAAATTGAGGATGTGATTTCATGAAATTCAAAAACTTAAACCTATTCCAATAGTAACCGGTGCCGTTGTCTAATAGTAGCCGTAACACAAGATTCTCCTAATAAAAACGCTCTAGCTTTTAAGCAACCCATCAAAGTGGACAATGATATAAAATAACCAATACTACTTACAAATACACAACGAACTGTCGATTCATTTTTATAAAATATCTAAAACTTCTGACGCAATTTTAAAATATCTCTTACGTGCATGTAAATGTGTCCAACGCTTTCGACAGTTTTCGTCTTATATATCAGCAATTCCTTAATTCATTAAAATTCTAAATATACATGTTCGTTTCAAAATGTATGTAAAGTTCCGTAAGGGTGGAATACCAAGCAGCTAAACTTTAATAATTGAATTATTGACCATTTTGTTGAGCCAGCGAAGAAAAATACTTACAATTTCGTCCATTTTTTTCCACTAGCAACCGCTCAATTTTCAGATAGCAGTGATGAACGCGCAATTTTTTCTGATAGCAACCGTTTAGGTACTACACCGTGAATTTGAATTTTGAAAATTCATGAGGTATTTATGAGCTACAACGCTTCACGCTTGCATATTTATCTTGAAGCGCTAACGCGCTTCATGAAATATGCCGTTGTGAAGCGTCGTAGTTCATAACTTCATGAATCTTCAAAGATTAAATTAATTTCTTAAATATACTTAATCATGTGATCAAGTTTGAGACAATCAGAGAGCTTGGAATAAATGATAAAAATAATATATAAAATTGTCGAGTCGGTGGTCATGGCAAGTGTTTTCTTCATCCAATGCAGAAGTTAGGAATAAATTTTGTTTCATATAAAAACAGAAATAGATATGCTGAAATTCGGAAGATAAGTTTGGAGACCTGATCTAAAAAAAAATACATAGATATTGTCAATCAGAAACTAAAGCATCTATATTTTAATATCAATTTTCAGAGTACTTAATGTTTGTAAATAAAATAATTTTGCAAATGACAAACATCCAAGGAAGTTAATGGCAGATGATAAAAATTCTATTATTTTGATTTTTTGCTCCAAGCTGTTCCAGCAAAAAGGCATTTCAAGAGTATACTTACATGTAATTAATACAGTTTGTTTAAAAATGCATGGTCAATGCGAACTTAATGGACTGACATCTCTATTGTTTTCATTTAATCCACACTTGTCCAAGTAATTGGCTTTTCCTACGGTGACTTACAAGTTCTACAACTTTAACAATAAGTTTAATAAAAAGAGACTTAATATATAGATACCGTTTCTATTTGCTGTTATCAAGCTAAGTGTAATGGATCAATCGAAGAAATCTGAATTGTTACAAATACATATCGATCTGTGGCTGTTGAAATAAATTTATATATGAATTTATCACGTTTTAAATGTGTTTCTTGCTTTATATTATAAGTCGGAACCAATCTCTGGAGATTAATGTTCTGTCATTCATTTAGAAGACATCTTGACAGTTTGTGATTACTACCTAAACATACTATATATTGTAAAGCTTTAATATATATATTTGAATTTATATGGTAAAAGAAAATATTAAGCTTAAATGATACGTACACGTGTATCAAATTATGCATTTTAAAATTGTTTTGAAAATGTATAGAATATACTAGTAATTTGCATCTTGTTCAAAATATTCTTTTTTTAAGTTTGTTTTTCCCAAATGTCTTTCACCTTAAATTGTTATATATGGTTTTATATGAATATAATATATAAATTATTATAGAGAGCTATATAAAGATGTTTAATGTTAATTTATATATATATATATTGTATATATATATCTGTAATCCAACACGGAAACAATTACTGCAAGTAATCTAAGAGCCTATTGTCTTCCCTCTAAATGCTGGGAGAGAAGAATTTTATTTTCCTTTAAATATATATATATATATATATATCTTGATTGCTTAATCTGTCAACTCTTTAACGTATGGTACAAAACCAAAGTACAACTAGTATACATGTATTAAGATCAAAGCGTCGCTATGCAAGTGAATATCGTGCTTGTATATTATTTTCAACTTAGGAGTCTTGTATACTCACACCTCCAAACCTTATTAATATTCAGGGTCATGAACCCAAGGGAGCATTCATTGCATCAGATATTTTCTTTAAACAAGGAAAGACAACTCAAGATTTTCTTTAATGATATAGTCAGTTTCTTTTATCAATTTATATACATTGAAATTGTGATAAATTGGGGGGGGGTATTGTGAGATATGTTTTATTTAATTAAGATAAACACTTCTGGTCAATTTTTATGTTGAATAAGTAAAACATTAAGACAGTGTATTTTCAGTATGAAATACTGCATAGGTACATGTATATGAATGTGTTCACTAAATTTCTGTTTAATAAATACAGGTAAATTGAGTTTCAAGTATACCTGATTTCACATAAGCTACATATCTGCAGCTACTAGTACATGTAAATATTTCTGGAAGGTATCTATCTAGATAATCATATTCAGTTATTAATTTTTTCTGTTAACTGATTCAACAAAAATAATTTAAACTGATATGCACACCATTTATATATCATGACTCATATTGAAAAAAAGACAAAGTAAACAAACAGCATGCAATCATGTTTTTATTTACAAGAAATTTATTAAGCACTACATGTAGACAGACAATGGAATGTTCAACAACAAATAATTAAGTTGTATATTGCAGACATATGTTATAATAAAGATTATGCTGTTTAAAAATGAAGTAAAAATTTATAAATCAATATTTAGATACCCTTCACAAGATCTCCAAATTTTGACTATTTTTAATAAACAAAATTAAGTGCACATGTACATTCTAAATATTTTTTTTCCTACTCAAAAAAATTAAAGATTCCATTTTTTAAAGATAATCAACCTTATAATAAAATTTATAGTAAAAATATTCAAGTGTTTCTTTCTTTACTGATCTGGTTTAAAATACTGTAATTACAATATGTAATTCATATAGTTTAAGCATGCAATACCAGTGAGAGCTACATGTAGCTATAACCTCTCTTTTTTGCAAACATTTTCTGTACCGTGATTGAATTTAAAAAAAAATCAGTGTTAAGTTATAAATCTTATCTTATCATTTTATAACCTATGAAGTCACCTGTATGGCACAGTGGCAAGAGCATCTGCTTGAGAGTCATGAGTAAGGATTGGAGTTGATCCATAAATTGCTGGTTCGAAATCCCACAGTCGGACATAGATGAGACTGTATATACAGAGGTCCTGTGTTGCAGTAGGTGCTAGTACCAAAAAGATCCCTCATTGCTCATAATGCTCAATTAGCCATGTGTGCCAAATAAAGGACAAAATTTGCAGCTCTCCAACAACAAATGTTTGTATCCCCATATGAGTGAAAATTTCTCAAGAAGAATGTTAAACAACGTACAAATAAACAATAAGCTATAGAGTCTTTGAATATGCAAATTCTTTTTTTCTGAGAAAGGGATCCTCAAATAATGTTTAGATATGGTTCATATGAGTAGAAAAGTACTGTATCATCCCAGCTAGTCTTCATGAATTCATTTGTTATATGGCCTGAAAAATATAAAATGTTAAATCATTAACATAAAAGTATATGATTGATATTTTTATAATTCATCATAAATTAATTGAATCAATAAAATAAAGTCACACTTGTTATCTTGAAATGCTCATGGGACTGTTGAAAAAAAACTGAGATAACAAAGAGATTCAGGGTAAGATATATAGAAAAAATGTCGTTCAAGGGACTTTAAATTGACTTTGATATCTCAATGTGTTCAAAATATCACTCAGTGTCAACTGTCAAAGATATATACCAAAGTTCAACTCTAAACAGAGTATATTAATTCATATACATGTACGCCATTTCGGTTGCTAATTCAATCTATAATTGTTCATTAATAATCTGCATGAGAAAGAGATATGCGCAAAATGAGCAAATTAAATTAACAAAAAAGTAAATCATATATATGCTATTCCAAGTGTTTGCAAATCATTCATCCAATTTGTAATACTGTCATGAATGTCAACATACCCTAGGTAGTCAAAGTTTTTTGATATTAGGATACTGTTGTTAAACTGTACTTATTTAGACTGCACTGTATTCACTTGTTTCACAACAGTACACATTTTTCACATGATCTGAAATCCATCATTACTATCATGATGAGAGTTAATTATGCCCTTTTTCTTTAACCCCAAAATATTGCTTTCTTTCTGAAAATTGTAGCTTTTTTGACCTTACACAGATATCAACTAAAGTATCCATAAAATAGGAATTTAAATTATGAAAACTTATATTATTTTAATCTCTACTTAACTTAAAAGCCAAGAAATAAACAAAATGATTTTCCAATATTTACATAGGACTTTCGAGATAAACATTCTGTTTCTAATTATGCCACCCATTACCCTTGATTCTGAGATTCTGTACTATGATGTATTAATTCAAAAAATATGATGTATCGTGGCCCTGATAATCTTGAATGCTTCAGCCTTCAATATTCCAGAATAAAACTTTGACCCCCCCCCCCCCTGTGGACCCACCCTACCCTATAGCTATATGATCTGAACAAATCTAAATCTGCTCTTAACTATCTCAGAGTGACTAATAATGACCTGTCTATTCTTGAAAAGAATTAAGATTTTAATTTTTTGTCTACGGATTACTATTGTTCTCTCTATTCTATTGATATACTCTATATACATCAATAACATATCATCACCAGTAATCAACATACCTTCTCTTTGGACTTGACATCCTTTCCTACATTCTCGTGGTTGAAGCTTTCATCAGATAATGTGTTTTGTTACAGCTGAACTACAAATATGATTAATTAGTTAATACAATCCTCTACATTTAATTAATCCAAATAAAATACAAGCATTTGCAATAATGTGGAAAGAAAACTGAATGAAAAATAACAATGCACTACATGCAAATCAGAAAAATATGTAATGCAATCATTTACAGTTTGCATAATATGCTGATTATGTATCAGCATAATTTTCAGTTCATTAAATTGTTTGCTGAAACAGACAACCAACTGTATTTATAAATTCTCTTTTAACGGATTTTCTTCTGCCTTTGAACTTACATGTACTATTATGCAGCATGATAATGTGAGAATTTTTTCATCCATTCTTATTACCAGGTATTAAAGTATCTGCTGAAAATAGAACAGAATGTGATTAAATCTTTTGAAAATTAAACAAAAACAAAAATCACTGATGCATGATTTTCAATTATATTGACCCTTTTATCAGCATCTCTCCCTCTCACTCTCTAACTATATATAACTTTACACAGGATTCTTTCATACATTGATATACCTGTACATGTAGATATTGGAGTAATTAGGCATGCTTAATATTTTTTATTTGTTTATTCCAATTAGCATGATCAGGATGATAATAATTAAATAATAATGTTGCATATTAAATATGTTATACCTGTGTAATTTTATCCTTACAGTTACATATACAATACTCACAACAGGCAAACCTTGAACTTGCACATCACTGTCTTCAGAGTATGTCCTGCAAGAAACATTTGATCATTGCACATTACAAATGAATTAATTTGATTTTCTTTTTTAAAAGTTTACATTTGCTTTTTTGTTTTATTTTAATGAAATTATAATTTTTGTGCATTTAATACAGTATCATCACTATCATGTGCATACATATTGAAGACCATTTTTAAATTCAATCAACAATGTCATTCTTCAAAAGAAAAGACATATATTGAAAACATGTAAAGATCAGTGAAGCCCATATTTTAAAAGTGGAGAAAATAAAATAAATTTTCTTGTGTGTATAATTTGTGTGGGATGGTGCATATCATTAAAAAACAAACAACAAAAAAGGACAGAATGTCTCGATAGCTGACTTTACAATGCAAGGCTAAAAAATAATTGAAGGCCCACTGGACTGGGGTCAGTGATTTTTGTTTTATCTAGGATATTACATGGTAGGGGGCACTCTGTCTTTTGGGTCAGTTCTATGTACATGTATAACAAAATACAATTATAGATGGGCTACAAACTTGACAGGATTGTGTCAAAGTTCTGTCATTTTGGAATCCTGTTTTGTTTAGATTAATTATTTGTCAATCTGTGTATCACAATAAATAAACAAAATATAACTATTACATCTATCATGATTATTATGTTCCCCAAACGGAGTTTGGGAACATATTGTTTTTACTCGGTTTCTTATTATTATTATTATTATTATTATGTTCCCCAAACGGAGTTTGGGAACATATTGTTTTTACTCGGTTTCTTATTATTATTATCATTAAGGTCTTCCGTCTTCAGCGGAAGACCTTATTGTTTTTCTTAGGTTTCTTTTCCACTATTTTTATTATTGTTTTTTTTTCATACCGATTTTGTGCGTGCGATTTCTCAAGAACGGCTCGATCGATTTTCATGAAACTTTCAGGTCTGATAGAACATCTAAAATTCTAGACATATATTTTTTTATTTTGATGACGTCACTTCCGGTTCGGAGTTTTCGGCGATTTAACGATTTTTAGAGGGTCACTTTGTCCGGCAGTTTTCTCAAAAAGCACTTAACACAGAAGCATGAAATTTTCACTGATGCTAAGAGCAACGTTTGGAGAAGTGCACTAAGTATATCACAACTACCGGAAGTACGAAACGCCGACGCTCGCTTTGGCCCGAAAATAGTCCTATCAAGATTTTCAAAATTTTTGACACCTTTTCTATTATAACTTTTTACCTAGAAATATTTTGTTTAAGCATGTAGAACAAAAAAGGTGTAGAATTTTAATACCTTTAAAATGGCATCTCGTGTAAAGGGCTGGCCCTTTAAATTAAGGGCCAGGAGGGGCCAAAACTTTTTTCTTTATATCTCAAAAAGTATTGAGATTTTGTAATATGTCAAAGAAGCAAAGTTGTTCAAAATGTCCTGCTCAATCTAT